TTAGGCTGAGTGTTAGGGTTAGGGGAGTGATTTGCGTGTGTGTGGAGGAGTGGGTTAGGAGGAGGGTGGTGGTACGGGGTGGAAATGTGTTTTGTGGTTCAGGTTGGCGTTAGGCGGTGGGTTACGGTATGGAGAGACCGTGATGTCTTCCTTTTGGTGCGGGTTAGGGGTGAGGATTGTATGTGGCAATGGGTTCAAGTGTGTCTGTGGGTGTAGGTTATGGGGTGGGTGAGGAGTGGGGTATGAGAGTGGATTGAAATTTAGGTTAGGGGAGAGATGGGTTTGGGGTGTGGTGTCAGGTGTAAGATTTGTGAGTGGGTCTGGGTTAGGCTTAGGGGGTCCAAGTGGTGCTAATTTGGCTTTTGTTGTGGGTGACTGTGAGGGTTAGGGTTAGGGCATAGGTTTAGGATTAAGTGTGGGTGCAGGGTGTGATTTGGAGTGGAGACTGGGTGCAAGTCTGAGTGAGGCTCTTGGCTTAGGGTCGGTCTTGTGGTGAGGAAAGTGTAGGTGTGTTTCTTGTGGGTGGTGCTGGTTGTGAGCGCTTTTTGGTGGTGGCTTGAGCATTGGTTAGGTAGGGGTGCTGGAGAGAGGTGCAAGTTTGTGGGGTTGATGTTTTTTTCTGGGGGTCTACCTTGTTCTCAGTGTAGTCTGTGGATGGGCATTTTGTAGGGAGTGGCATGGTGGTGGGAGCTGGCTGTGCAAAGTGTGTGCTATCAGGGTTCGGGGTTAGGTGCTGTGCAGGATCAGGATTGCCTAGGCGCCGCTTGCAGCTTGTGCTCTTACCTGGAGGCGATATGGGGAGGCCTTCACTCAAGAGAGGTTCTTCCTAGGTGTTGCGCCAGCCAACTGCCCTGTTTATATAGGAAGAGATTCAAAATGGCTGCCCTCATCAAGCACCTGACTGCTGGTAGCTCTAGCTTCTTAAAGTGGCAGGCGCACCTATACACTTAGAGTGTGGTTGGATTTGAAGTGTGATTGGGGATTTGCAGCTTATTGGAAGGCTGAGGGGTGCTGAGAAGTGTGTTGATGGTGCACCGTGTTAGTGTTTGATACGAGTCGTGCTGTAAGGGCAATACTAAGTGCGTTTGGGAGGTGAGTTGTCCAAAGTGCCATTGGTGGTGTAGGCATGAGAGAATGACAAAGTGTACGGGGACACAGAAGATATGGTGCGGTCTTTCACAGTGCGTGCCAGCGTCGTTGCATTTAAATTTTAGTGTGTATATAGTAGGCGTGTGCGGAAGCTGAAGTGCAGCGTGGGTTGTTGGGTATTTTTTATCTGAGGTAGGGTTAGGGTGAGTGGTATGGTGAGCTTTAGAGTGCAGGTGAGCAATAGGGTTAGGAGGTCAAGTGTGGGTGAGGAGAAGTGTTGACACGTTCATTTTAGGGGATCTGTGTAGCTTTTGGGGGAAAGTAGGGTTTAGGGCTGGCATTGTGGTAAAAGATCCAAATGTTGGGAGAGTTGGAGATGAGGAGTGGGTGTGCATTGTGAGTGTGCTTGAGGAAGATTGGTAAGGGTAGGCTAGGGGTAGCGTTAGGATGTAGGTTAGAGTTGCATTGCAGGTGCGTATTATGGACAGGTTGAAGATGGTACAGAGGCGTTTGTATTTTGTCTGTGGTTGGTTAGCAGAGGAGTACATGGTTAAGAAATAGAAATAGGCGGTGCATGTGTGTGGTGTTGTAGATTGGGATGTGTGTGACAGGTGTGGGTGGTGGGCCTTTGTAGGACTGTGGGTGGTTGTGGTGGCTGGTGAGGCATTGTGTTGTGTCATTGAGGCAGGAGTTGGGGTTGCTTGATGTGGTCCGTGCTGTGTGAGGTGATAGCGTTAGGTTTCTGGTGGGGCTTTGCCATTCTGTGCTGGAGTGGCAGTGGAGGCAGGTGTGGTTGATTGGCGTGGTGATTGAGGGCCTGAGTGTGTGATGGCTCCGCCCATTTTAGGGAGTTTAAAAGACGTCCAGCTGTGGAAGGTAGGCACTTGGCCTCTGTCCTCCTTGGAGCTTAGAGGTGTTTGCTTGGGGTTGGGTGTGCTGTGGTCATTCTGCTGTTGGCTATGGATGGGCTAGGGGTGGAGAGGGAAAGTGTGTGTGCTGGTGTGCAAGTAAGGTATGGTTTGGAGAGGTGGGGGTTGTTGGGGCTGGTTGGTTTGTGGATGGTGGGTGTCATGTGGAGGTTATGGGCTTGTTCTGGCTGGGTCTTTGGGCTTGTCTGTATTGTGAGTGCAGTGGGGAGAGTGTGCAAGGTTTGATGTCGTGGATTGTTTGTGGCGGGGGGGG